CACCTATAATCCCAGGACTCAAGATTAAGAGGTAGGCAGATCTCTGTTAGTTCAAGGCCACACTGTCTACAGGAAATGGATCCAGTCCTGAAGAGAAACAGTTCACACAAAGAAGATCTCAGCACTTGGGATCACATGACCTTAGTCCCATCATTAGGGAGGTATTTAAGAAAGGAACATTCTTAAACATTTGAAAAATGGGCCTAGAATCTAACAAAGAGTTCTCAAATGAAGAACAATGGCTAATAAATATCTCAAAATTTTTCTTTGTCCCTAGCAATTGGGGAAATACAAATCTAAACAATTTTGAGATTTTCATCTCACCTTAGTCAGATGAATTGCAAAGATCAAAATAATCTGAAACAAATTCTGGAAGGAATGTAGAGTAAAGGAATCCTCATTCACTTTTGAAGAGATTGCAATTGGGGCAGTGACAATGGAAATTGGCATGGAGAATTCTCAGAAAAGCTAAAAATAGACCTAGCTATGCCACTCTTCTACATTTGTCTACAGACTGTACATCCTATTTCACTGATGCTTGCTCAGTTGTGTTCATTGTTCTATTCACAAGAGCCAGGAAATGGAAACTACTGAAATGCCCTTCAATTGACAAATGGATAATAAAAATGTGATACATATACACAATGGAATATTATTCATTTATTATCTTATATTATCATATAAGATAGAAAACTTATATCATTTGTAGATAAATGGATGGAATTAGAAAAGATCATATTGAGTGAGGTAAGCTGTATAGAAAACTTATATTATTTGTAGATAAATGGATGGAATTAGAAAAGATCATATTGAGTGAGGTATTTCATGTTCTTTCTCATGAAGGCTCCTAGCTCCACATCTTCAGATGTGAAGACATGTCCTGTAGCAACTGCAGAAACCAAGAAAATAAAAAGGACTATTGTCAGGGTGAGAGGGTAGGGCCTGGAATAACTGCAGAAACTAGGATAGTGAAAAGGGACTATTGGGGGTACAGGGAGCAATAGCCCAGTACAAATGATCTAATTGGAAAAATGGTAAAAAGAATGGGGTTTTAATTAGTGAGAGGGGGATAAATATAAAAGATTAGAAGAGGATAAAGTAACAGTAAGGATTTTAAGGAGTCCACCTAAAAAGACACCAACACTACATAGACATGAGAAGCCCTTTTTGGAGATTTTGGTCAGGATTCCCAAAGACACTTTCAAATCATTACTGCTATTGCCCTTGCTTTCCCCCTAGAGGTGGAAGGTAAGTTCTTATTGCTGAAGACAGTGTGTACTTCAGACATAAGACCCAGAGGCCCCTGAACTGGAATTGACTTGACAGCCTCCTTCCTGAAGACTAGTTTTAAATGCTGTCAGAAGGCATCATGCAAGCTTCTAAAGGAGGGAAGCAATCAACATCCTAGCCAGCTATGATGCCTGTGAACCACAACAGTAACTAGTGTGGTGAGATAATCCTAAGAGTGGAATAGTGGCACACATACTCTGGAAGTAATCCACACAACTAGAGGAAAATCATGCCTCATACTGGAAACCTAGTTAACTACCCAGAGCTAAGGAAGTCATGGATTTTGGAAGACAACCTACATTCAATACTTGCTAAATTGGCATAATATCCAACTACATTCTTAATATTTGTCCTTATACTCACAGATAAGTGTAGTCCTTACCCTTCAAAGAAAAGTCCTTAACTTTTCTTTGTAACAGACAAAGACCATTGCAGAAAACCATAAATTAATTGAAATGCAGAGTTATTGTTGGGTCCAGTCCCAATGGATACATCTACCACATACACACACACACACCCACACACCCACACACACACACACGGTCATTTATCCATTTTGACTTAAGTAAAACAGCTATCTTAACTACCTTGCCTGAGTTACTTTTTGTTGCTGTGATAAAATACCATGAACAAGAGCAATATACATATGAGTTTATTTTGTGTTATGATTCCAGAGGGTTAGAGTCCATTATCGTGAGGAAGGCATGGCTAGCCTGGTCTACAGAGTGAGTTCCAGGACAGCCAAGGCTTCACAGAGAAACCCTGTCAAAAAAAACACAAAACACAAAACAAAAACACCCCAGAAAAGTGCACCGAGAATTATAGAAGTCATATATGAACAACACAGCAAATATAGATTATCAGCATTTCACATGAAGCACTGAGGTCTTACATCTCTATTTTTCCATGTTCTTATACAACAACATATATGCACATATGCACCCATACACTCTCTCTCTCTCTCTCTCTCTCTCTCTCTCTTCTTTTCTTTCTTTTTCGTCTACTATTGTCTTTTGAGAACCAAATTGGTAGGAAATGTATATAAACTTCCCGACAGACAGTTGTATAGGGATTGATTTTAATTTTTATAAATTTGTGGAACAGGTTCCACAATAAAACACAATTCATGTGGCTTTTCTTTTTGAATTAAAAGACTAGAGAATTAGACTAAGGAAGCAGAATATATCATATCCAATTCCCAGTGATAACCATCCTTTCCCTCATGTAAAAACAGCCAGGCTAATCTCCTTCACGTAGCTCAAACATGTTCAGAAGTCTTGATGTTTTCTGTGGCACTCAGTAGGAAGCCTGCCCTGTTCAGTTACTATACTGAGGCTTCCTCTATGCGCTGGTTGTAGGCTGTTTTCTCGAGGCTTCCATGTCCCAGGTTTCAGCCATTAAACTATTGAGATCGGGACCCCCTGCTCTTCCCACTGATAAGCTTCTGTCAAATCTTCTGTATTTTTTGCTTCATCCATAGGAAGCTCAGACCACATCTCCCATGTACTTGACTCAGGCTCACACCCCTATGTTCAAGAGAAGCATTGAGTGTTAAGAGTGCTCCTTACCTCACACAGCAGACAGCTGAGCCACAGCACCCAGGTCCTGTCTGCAATCCAGAGTCACTTTGTAAAGGAATGGCAGGTGTATGAAAATGCCCCAGGGAGATGGAAGGAGGAAAGAATACAATGCCTGAAATACAGAGAGGGAGGAAGGAGCACAAGGATGTCTTGATGGGGACTTGACCAAAGGCTAATGCGGAGTTTCACAGCAGGATGGATGGTACAGGCTCTGTTTTATCATCAGACTTCATGCTCAGTTCCTACTTTCACTTCCTTAGGGGAAGTTATTATTTTTAAAAATCTCTAGAATATGAATGGTAGGAATGAACGTTTCCTGGAGTTATGAAGATCAATTTCAACAAAATACTTGGCAATATCCAGAGACTTGCCAAGTGCCAAATTGGCTATTAGCCTACTCCTTCAGGAGAGACTATGCCCAGAACTCCACAAACCCTTCTTAGTGTCCAGCACCAGCAGAGGAAGCCAGTCAAGGCAGAACTCTAGGCAGGGCCCTAGAGCAGAAAACATGAATGCTGTTCATCAGCTTGCTTCTGCTGATGTTTGGCTACCTTCCTTGTATATAGCTCAGGCCCACTTGCCTAGGGATGGTACAACACACAAAGGTCTGGGGCCTCCCACATCAATCGTCAATCAAGAAAAAGGATCCACAGACATGCTTTAAGGCCAAGCTTATGGAGACTCAATTGAGTCTCTTTCTTCCTAGGTGTGTCAAGTTGACAATAAAACCTACTCAGTACAGTAATCCTCCTGCCTCAGCTTTCTCCCAAGTGCTGGGGTTACTGAAGTAAGTCACTCTCACCCATCTAAGAGGCTGCTGAGTAGATTTTCCTCTCACTGAGGTGAGCAGCTGCCCTCAATGATGGAGGTGCTGCAGTCACAGTGCAGCTGTGAGATACAGGGGGAGTATCCTCACGCACCCCAACAGAACCGTGCCTTTAAAAGTCTCCCACTTGTATTTACAGGGTCACGATACGACTGCAGCTGCAATAAACTGGTCCTTATACCTACTGGGTTCTTATCCAGAAGTCCAGAGAAAAGTGGACAAGGAACTGGATGACGTATTTGGTACGTTGGGCCCCTTTGTTAGCTCTGTTGGAGGCCCTTAGCCACAGAAGCAGTGGTGGTTCTTGACCCATAAAGATGCTATTGTCATCAACAGAAGGCTGTGGTGTAGGACTCCTGCCTGCAGCTGTCTCCTTGACAATGTCTAGTGAATTTCTGAGCAGGCACTTGATAAGTGTAGAAGCTAAGGATGCACAGATCAATGACACTGTTCCCAACGGTGTTTCTGCTTAATAGGTGACAAAAGCAAATGTGCCTATAGATTAGAGTCATGGGCTGTGCTCTTGAGCAACACCAAGAAGATCCTGTGTGGGAGCACAGGGCACAGGTGCAGACAGTCCTGAGGCTAAGGGAGAGTCCTTTCATGGTCTGCATCTGACATAGTGAGAGCAATGATGCGGGATGCAGTGGGATTTGTCTCTACTATACAGCAAGCCCTATCATCTCTAGAATATTTTCAGCACCCCACAGGAATCTCATCTTTCTTCTCCTAACCCCGCCACCAGAAGTCAATATTTTACTTCCCTTTCTAGAAATAGAATCATACATGACTGTTGTCTTTGTAATGTGGCCATATTAATATATTAAAATGGGAGACGGTCTTGTCTTAATCTGGTTTCTGTTACTTAGCTGAATGCTTCATTTTATTTTATTTTTCATGATATTAGAAATTCTGCTTGGTTTGTGGACATTTGACTTTCTGTGTTGTGGCTCTGTATTGCTGTTTAATGTCTCACCTCCCTAAGCTAAGGCCGGGCTTTGTTTTCATTTTGTACATTTATTTTAACCAGGACGGTCCCTTCGCCCTGTCACCTTGGAAGACATGAAGAAGCTTAAATATCTGGATTGTGTCATTAAGGAGACTCTAAGAATTTTCCCCTCAGTTCCTTTATTTGCCCGGAGTCTTAGTGAAGACTGTGAAGTCGGTGCGTATTACAGCATGAGGGAGCAGGCTTATGTCCCTCCTGTCTATCTGTAGTGTGTCCTGATACATCACTCTCTCTTAACAGCTGGTTACAAAATTTCAAAAGGCACAGAAGCAGTCCTCATTCCGTATGCATTACACCGAGACCCCAAATATTTCCCAGATCCTGAGGAATTCCAGCCAGAGCGGTTCTTTCCCGAGAACTCTAAAGGACGCCATCCCTATGCCTACGTGCCCTTTTCTGCTGGACCTCGAAACTGTATTGGTTGGTATCCATGAGAGCGGGTTTGACCTTTCAGGCCCATGTGATAGATTCACACAGGAACCTCTGAAACACAATGGCACATTACTCATAGGCAGTAGACTAAAAGAGGTCCTGTTTTCTTCTACTTCACACTATGGTTTTAAAATGTCATTAAAAGGTGCTGGGCAGGCAGCTCAGTTGGTGGGTACTGTGCAAGTGTGAGAACTCAAGCCTGTCTCTAAATGCATGTAAAGTGGGATGTTGTGTGCATATGTGATCCCAGTGGTGGGAAGGCAGAAAGGGAGATGGCTTGACATAATAGAAACTAAACTTTTTACTATTCAGCAGGGTAAGGTGTCGGTGAGTCTTCCAAGCTTTCTCTCTTTTGGTTTATATGTGCCAGCCCTCTCTGTGTGTCTTCACTTGTTTTTCCCCCCTCTGTGTATGCTTGTGTGTTAAATATCATTGTCTCAGCTTGTACTGAGACCCACCTTAAAGACCTCATTTAGCTCATTCAAGTGTAATCATACAATGTTAATTTTTCACTTAAAGACCCACTCTAAGGACATTCATAGTATAGAATGTTGGGAGTTGCCTGGTATGATGACTTAGACTCAGGAGACAGAGGCAGGTGAGAATTCTATGAGTTCAAGGCCAGCCAGGGCTACATGGTGACACCCTGTCTCAAATAAACAAATGAGAGGGGGAGGAAAGGAAAGGGAGAGGGAGAGAAAGGAAGAGCCAGAGAAGGAGGGGGAGAGGGAGAGAGGATTTCCACTTATATAATTTTTGATTTAGACATAATTCTGTTTGTAACATAAAGTATAAACAATTTCATGGTAGGTATTTAATTATTTAGTTTGTGTGGTGTGTGAGGGCATGTCACTGCAGGAGTGTGGATGTCAGAGGATGACTTTAGGAATTTTGTTTTCACCTTCCAACGTTTGGGACTAAGGGATGGAACTCAGGTCACCAGGCTTGACAGCAAGTACTTTCATCTTTCCAGATGAGCTGTCTTGCCACCTCTAGAGATTGAAAATACTGGAGATTAGCTTTGTTACTGTGGTAGAAAAAAGTGTCCATGATAAGACTTATTTTGCTTGAAAGAATTGCAGACCCACACAAAGGCATTGCCTGACTGCCAGTCAAGCACTTACAAATGCACATCACATGCATTATAGACAATTTTGCAAACATTCATGAAATAAGACTAGATATAAATATTTGGATCTGAGCCATATCTGATTACTCTAGAGTGAATAAATGAAGGAGACAATTAAAAAAAAAACAATCTAGGAAGGTTTGAAGCCATTAGGAGCCCATATTGCTTTTAATGGGGATTTGAGTTCAGTTCCCAGCACCACGCACCCATCTAGTAATTCCAGATCCAGGAGACCAGGGCCTTGTATTTACATGCACACCCCTCTTTCCCACCACACACATACATCATAAGACTTTAAATTGTTTTAAAAAATTCAGCCTAGAAATTCCCTAAATGATCCTGGATTCATCTAGCTGTTAGTCATCACTAGGTATCCTTTGACATCCATTTTAATCCTGGAATTGGTCCAGGACCATTCAGAGATACCCATCGGCATAAGGGCAATCCTGTTTATAAACTGGCATGGATTTGCATTTGAATACATATTTATATCCTCCAGTATACTTAAATCACCTCCAGATACCTGTAATACTAGTAACAATATATATGCTATGAAAAATAACTCCTATTGCTTAGAGGGTGAATAATGAGGCAACAATCTATACATATTCAGTAAAGATGCAATTTAAGGAAATATTTTAACTCATGGTCAGTTGAATCCATAGATAAGGAATCTGTAGATCAGAGAGTCTGTGGTGCTGATAAAGTAGATATTGCCTGGCTGCCACAGATAACCATACTCATGTGGGAGCAAAAAGGACACTCAAAACTCTTCAGTTTTAGCAGTCATTTCAGGGAGAGTGTTCTCTGGCCTACATGAATGTGAAGTGATTGCAGCTTCTTCTTCTTCTTCTTCTTCTTCTTCTTCTTCTTCTTCTTCTTCTTCTTCTTCTTCTTCTTCTTCTTCTTCTTTTTCTCCTCCTCCTCCTCCTCCTCCTCCTCCTCTTGAGACAGGGTTTCTCTGTATTGGTTTTGAGGCTGTCCTAGAACTCACGCTGTAGACCAGGCTGGTCTCAAACTCACAGAGATCTGCCTGCCTCTGCCTCCCGAGTGCTAGAACTAAAGGCGTGAGCCACCAACATCCGGCTTGTGTTACAGCTTCTTGTGTCTCACATTTGAGCTGTGTCTATAATCTGAGTAATGGTACTTACATTTACTTAAAGGTCAAAAGTTTGCTGTGATGGAGGAGAAGACCATTCTTGCCTGTATCCTGAGGCGGTTTTGGGTAGAATGCAATCAGAAGAGAGAAGAACTCGGCCTGTCTGGAGATTTGATTCTTAGGCCAAATAATGGCATCTGGATCAAGCTGAAGAGGAGACACGAGGAACCTTAACTTTGTCCTTGAGACCTTATCATGATGAAGATCATTCTGTAAGAAACATGGTATTTGCAATTTTTAGATTGTGAGCCAAAAACTCTGAATCCTTGGGCATGATGTGTTTTCTTTTCCCCACTGATCTTGGGACCCAGTCCATCACAGAGAGGTTTTGTGTTTATTACCAACATAGATGCCATATCACACCCACTCTTGATCTCAAAGGTACCATTAGCTGAGTTAGCACCAAAATCAACATATAATAAAAATTATAACAGAAGGAACCATCAACCTATTCAATTTTATTTGTTTTATTCGAAAAATGTCATTTAAATTAAATTTTAGAATTAAGAAAATGATCCTGTTGACTATGAAATTCATATGATATCATTTGAGAATGGTGGGTAATTAAGCTCTTCAGCATAGTGGCCTTAGGTTTAATCTCATTAGTTATGAGATAAGTAGTTGTCACATCTCTTTCAGATTCTATCATGCAAAACATGTCCCTTGCATGCCTGACTCAAGTGACAGTCACCTTGTTGACCGTGAGCAAGGATCGTCTGTTCTTGGTGGAGTCCCAATCACCTTTTATATCGTGTTATTGGAAAAGATTCCCTTCTACAACTTCCAATCTCTCATTGTACCTCAGAAGCTCCATTAGTGGCCTTTAAAATTCAAGTAGCAACAGAAACTCTCTGTTATACACCATTCTATTAAGAGTAGGGGCAGCCAGGTGTTGGTGGTGCATGCCTTAAATCCCAGCACTCTGGAGGCAGAAGCAGGTGGATCTCTGTGAGTTTGAGGCCACTTGGTCTACAGAGTGCATTCCAGGATAGGATCCAAAGCAATGCCCTGTCTTGAAACCCTGTCTTCAAAAAACAAAACAACAACAACAACAACAAAAACAAAAAAACAAAAACAAAAAGAGTAGGAACATGGAATAAAGGGAACAGTAAATTTCTGTCCAAGTTCTTCTGCTAATTGTGCTATGGCTAGCCATGAATAAAATGTCTACAGTGGAGCTCTCCACTCCCTGATACACTTTTACCTACAATATACTTTGGCTTTGTGGATCTCAGGACTGTAACTGGATGGATTAGAACTCAGGATGCCGGCCCTTGGTGTGGGCATGTCTTTTTTGTAATTCCCCTACTTTCAGAGGAAGAAAGAATCTATCCTTTCCTATTTAGCTACACTGTAATAACACTTGGTTCAGGACTAGACATCTAATTAACTCATCGGGGTAGAACATCCCTGCCAAGCTGATAACTGAATTACATTCCTTGGACTTCAATTTGGTACATAATACTACTAATTCTCATACAATGACTTTTAAGAATTTCTTTTTAATAAATAATTTTTAACAGGATCAATTATATGACTTGTTTTGTTCTCGGTTTTCCATGGCCTTAAAAATAGAAGCAAGAAACAGAAGGGATAGAGTATGTACCCATGAATCAGAAGCAAAGGGGAACAGTGTACCAAACAGTGTTTGGCAAACAGTACAACATAGGTCACTCAGGGAAATATTACCAAATAGATCTGTTAGACTCTCCAGAGAGCCCCAGTGCATAGGACTAAAGCTGTAAGCTGATGAGAGAGGGAAAAGAAAACAGAACAAGGAGGGAGATACACACTTGTAGTGAAATGTGTTGTAAAGCTTTTATAGCTGGCTTTAGTGAAATGTATAGTAAAGTCTTGGTGTCTGACTTTGAGAGAAATGTTTCAGCGAAGCCTTTGCTATATTTGGACTAATCAGTAGAGGCTGAGAAATTATTTTGAGACTAGTTAAGCCTTGAAGAATTGTTTCTCTGGAGAGTCTGCACTTGGTGCTACGTGAGAGCTTGCAGCTGCACCGACCTTGATCCCAAGAGAACTTCTGGCAGACCTGGAATTCTTATCAAAAGAAACCGAGATTTGTGTGGGCTGCCTGCTCTTGTGGGCGGCAAGAGCAAGATGACTTTGATAGTTGGAACCTTTCCCAGCCCCAATTAACCTTGTATATGTTTGAATAAAGTAACTGGATTGAGCTAACCAGGTGCCAGTCTTTTCTGAGAAGGCTGTCCCTCTCTGCTCCTTTGGAAAATGAAGGCCTAGCATCTTGGTGAGCTTCTCTTTACTGTGGCACCTACAACTCAACATCAAACAATACACACTGGAAAAGAGTCCCTTAAATGACTAACTTCACTATCTAGAAATTGGGACTAAGTAGAAACTCATCCCAAATGATTTGGGGTAGTTTAATTGGCTTCCCTTGTATAGATGAGCCTTCTTTCAATTTCTATAATATATTTAACCCCTGCCTTATAAGTTTTTACATTTTTAAACATTAATTTATTTGTTCTTTTAGTGTGTGTGTGTTTGTGTGTGTGTGTGTGTGTGTGTGTGTGTGTGTGTGTGTAGATATGTATGTGTGCAGGCACACATGTGTCACACACAACATGACCTGCTTTCTCTGTTTAAGTTTATTGACTCAAGCAGTAGAAAGCCAGAGTTTTTCCTGGGGTTTATCCAACTGGATTAATCTTCCAAAGAATCTCCAGGTCACTGATTAATCCTCTAGAGCAGCTTCTAGGATATGGTATGAAAGGGAGGAGTGGAGAAGAAACAGAGAGAAGAAGTGATGAATACTGGATGATGCTGTGTTCCTACCACTCACTCTTCAACTATACTTTGGAAACCAAGGGCAGTGTACTGCCAGCTTGCTTCAGTAGAAGATTTTTTTTCATCACTCAAAGCAACTCCAAGTTTGTCAACTCAGCATCAGGGTGAAGAGTCAAGTCTCATTCTTGGGACATCATCTTGGTTTTTATCCCATTTTCTTTCTGATGAAAATAATAATTCTTATGTATCATTAGTGCAGATGTGAAATGCCTGTTTCAGTGCAATAATATTTGATGACGTGTAGTTTCTTCTTTAAAATTCTACCATACTTTTTAGATCCATTTTAGAGTACAGCTAACTGGGCCAGATACAACAATCTGATTATGATCTCCAGACTACCCCATCATTTCCCCCATTTTCTAGCTAAGGTGGGCTCACTCTAGCATTCCTTATGGGTAGCTGTATTACAAATTTCTGAATCAATTCTGGCTCCTGTAATTATTAACAATGGCCTAGTTGCATCACCTCTCCTAGTCACTTGCCCAGGAACTTTAGACTTTTAGGCCCAAATTCCACCTCTAAGACTCTGTGAGTCCACCTCTAGCCACATCCACAGTTCAGGTCAGATTGTGGGTCCAAAGCTTTATCAGGCAACACCCACGCTTCAGACTGATTCCTTTATCTCTAGGCTCCAATAAACCTAGTAAAGTCCAGGCCAGCCAGCCGTGCTTGGAAATAGGCCAGTTCCTCAGGATGCTAGTCCCAGAGGACCCAAGACCCAGAATGGCTGTTGCAGGATCAGGAGCCACATCTGTTCCCATGGAGTCAATGCTAGGGCCATTTCAGAGCTCCACTGTACTATGGGACAAAGGCCATGCCTCCAATGGACCAAATGAAAGAAATGGGTAGATGTTGATTGAAAGGTCCAAGAACTCAGGGAAGACCAGTGTTTTGGGGCCTATTGCACATACAACATTATTATCAACAGTAATATATTATCTACACCTTTGAAAACTGGTAAGAGTTGATTGCAAGCTCTCACCACGAAAATTATTGTAATGTAATAGGTTAACTAGTTTGGTTTGATCACTGTATACTCTTGTGACTGTTTATATAAAATACAGCATCTGTGTAAATTAAAAGTAGCACTTGCTATATAACTAACTAGTTTTAACCAGAGCAGCAACACAAGAACATTCATTAGAGTAAGGGCCGGCATAGCTATTTCTCCAACAAGTAGTTTTAGCCCATGTAAGATGGGCATCTTATCTTACTCTACAGTATAACTATCACTTACATGATCCTGGTTGCACACAGTGGGCAAAAGGACCACCTGTCCCCAGTTCCATTTGTTTGTTGACAATGGTTAATTGCTCTCGCCTGTGGTTATTCATTATTTCCCTCTAACTCAATAGACAGTACTATCCAGGGCTCCAGGAAAGACAGCAAACAAACTGCAGTCCCAGATCCTAAAGATACAGGAGCAAGTAGATGAAGTAACCAGTGCTAGAAGGAAAGTGAGTGAGGGAAAGGAATGAGGGCTGGAAACTATGAGGAGGGAGCATGTGAACAGAGATCTTTTGGGTGTGAGAATATGAACACCTGGGACAATATTTCACCTAGAAAGTAAGGGGAAATTAGCTTGGAGGATGTTGGAAGGGAGGGTGGGGAGGTGATCTTGTTCCCACTCAGTCACTGGAAATATTCTTCTGTGTATGTATGTGGGGGTGGGCATAGGGCTGAGACTCCCATTTTTAAGAGCTGTTGGGTAGAGATGACCCTCAAGTCCTCGTCTCCAGGCTCCTGTGTATCCAAGGCAGCACCCCCAAAAGTCTCTCTGATGCTCAACCCTCTTATACTTTGAATTTCCTTGAATTCTCCTTATTCTTATTAGAGCAGACCAGGGTGGGTGACATGACTCAGCAGGTAAAGCAGTTGCTGCCAAGCATGATAATCAGAACTTCACTGATCTCCAGAATTTATATAGTGGAAGAAAGGAGCCAACTCCTGTAAATTGTCTGTTGACACCAGCTAGCATACCATGGCTCATGCATGGCAACACACACACACACACACACACACACACACACACACACACACACACCTGTAATTTTAAAAAGGTGTGACAGGAGCCCTGTTTTAAAGGGTTCTGGCTCTGAGATCTGGCCCACTCAGATGGTCTCTACCTTGATGAGTTCAGTGTCAGCTGAATAGTCACCTTGATTATGTCTGCAAAATTGCCTTTCTCATCAACCACAGTCACTGAAACCCAGTCATTGCAGAGGTACTGGCTCACAATGTCTGCTCACGCCCCAGAATCAGGGAGGAAATTTAGGAGGGAATACTTAGAACTCTGCCTACTTCTGGCTCTCTTGGATGTAATTGATTTTGGTCCCCTAAATCCATGAAGAAATTTTAGTTTTTATTTTATTATGAGCATATAACTTCTATTTCATTGTCAGGAACTTTCAGACTAAACACAGAAGTATATTTTTATGGATGTTTAAGTCTGGAATATGACCTTGTAGGCAAGCAACCTCTAACCGTGTCTGTTGTGCACTGACAGCTTTTTTCTTTCTTTCTTTTTTCACCACTGTTGAGCCTAGTGGCAGATGAGCTCAAAAATTCCATTTTTTTTTTACACTTCACGGGGCACAGTGTTTTTCTTTGTTGATTACTGACATACCAGATAATATCCTGTCTCTAGAAAGAAGTACAGCATACTGTTTAAATATGCTGCTGTATGGCGGTCCAGGGATATTTATTGACAGCATGATCTGTTGTTTCTAATAAATACAGTTCTGCATCCAGCAGCACATACAAAGTATTTACAAGTCAACTCTCTCCAAATCTTGGTTACTAGTTAAAATGACACACTGTGATCTTGCAGAATAAAAAGCAGAGAGGATTTAGTGGTGAGTGATTATGGCCTTTAAATATTTTTTAAAAATCAAAAATAGGGAGTAAATTACTAGTTAGCAAATCCAGGACAGAAAGTTAGAAGTTTCAAGGAAATGTATGCATTTTATTATATCTGGAATCATTTTTCTAAAAATTAAAACTAAAACAGAGTTCCCTGAGGGGGACTAGGCATCCTGAAGTTCAGTGAGTGTTTCTCTAAAAGAATAGTGACAGGAAAATCTAAACTCCACTACAGAAGTGCTATGCAGCAGGTTTCAGTAGCCTTCCCTGTATGGAATCAAATATTAAAATCTTTGCTTGTTTGGTTTTTTGGTTTGGTTGTTATTGGAGAGCATTCTGTCATTATAGGTTGGAAGTGGGCCTAGACTGTGCATCAGTGAGTGGGCATGGATGTGTTCCACTAAAACTTTATTTAGAACAGCAAATACTGGAACAAATTTGTGCTGGAAACTGTGGCTTCTCAGTTCGGGAATGCGTGTATCTGAACATAAATGTCAGTGTTATAAAAAGGAAGAAAGGCAATAACAGCATTTGCTTCAATTCACCTCTAGGGGGAGCTGTCCACCCCATCCCCACATTCAGTTGTGCCTACAAGCGATTTGAATGGGAAACGCACGCACGCACGCACACACACACACACACACACACACACACACACACACACACACACACACACACACACACACACACACACACCTACAAATGCAAATAGGTAAGACTCAAGCTACAGATCCCCAAATAAAGGGATGATATGATTATTTTCAAAACCGAAAACTTATACTTGAATTGTGTGTCCCTGACATAAATCACAATTTTCTCTTCAGGATAAGCATTTAAATGCAC